TCTGCCAACAGTCTGTGATTCTCGAGCCACATCGCAACGGAGAACCACGCTCTGAGGACACACAGGACGCGCTGTGACTGGCAGGAGGCTGGGTTCTGGAGCAGAAAACGTCACACATGTGCTCGCACAGGGCACCAGTGCCAGTGGAGCACACTGTGGATGCGACGCTAGTAGAGAGCAGCTCATGGCCACCTACACACACACATGTCCACCCCTGATGAAGCACCGACTGAGAGGAGGCCCACGGCACACTGTTCACAGGGCCCAAGATGCTCCTTCTGGGGAAGGCTCCCCGGAAAAGTTAGGATGAATCTTTACACTCCAGTAAGCGTGTTGGAGACCTGGAGGCCCGGGCACACCCTAGGTGCAGGGCATGCAGACGGGAGCAAAAGGACTTGCTTTTGTGGAGGGAGAAACGGTAAACAAACAGAAACGCCTTTTAAACTGGCGTGTCCTCCAGCAAGAAAACAGAGCCGGTGGCAAATCACAGAGAACAGGGTGAGTGACTGCGCTGGGAGATCAGGGAAGGTTCCCTGACAGGCAGCATCTGAGCAGAGATCTGAAGGAAGAGAAGGAGCAGCCATGCAGTCACCCACAGGGGGCGACCAGCTCAGGAGAAGCAAGTGCAGAGGCCCTGAGGCATCTGAAGGAAGCAGTGAGGGAAGGAGCCCCCGCCCCAGGCTCATGACGCGCCCCCCCGCCCCCGGACAGAGGTTGGTACAGTGAGCAGGCCAGCAAGAGGGGAGGCGAGATTCCCACGCCACGGAGGAGGGCTGGAAGCTCAGATTACCCCCATGTTTGGGAGCTGAACCCAGATCTTCTGCCTCCTAGACCCCATGGGTTGCCCTTTAAGGAGAGACCCTCAGGGACAAGAAGGAGCCTTCCCCTGAACACCCCAGGGCCCCACAGACAAGGTCCCCAGGCAAACCCAACAGCGTGAGGGAAATGGGGCACTCACTCACCATCGCCGTCCTCCAGGCTGTGGCCCCGGCCTGGGGCCTTACTGCCCACCACCCCGGTGCCTGTGTGCACCTCAGGGGTTTCAAATGTGGCTGGAGTCACATCTGGGGGAAGAGAGGGGATGGGGATTGGAGGGAGCCTGAAGCAACAGTTCAGCGGGAGTCCCCTCCCGCCCCCCCACAGGACTCCTCTTACAGGGCGGAGGGGGCTCTCGGGACATCTTGCCCAGGGCAGAGCCAAACTTGATGGCGATCTGGCGCATCCGTTCCAGGTCTCCATTCTCCTCGGCCTCCAGGTACTCCTTCTGTGCCTGCAGCTTCTCCACATCAGGAAAGAAGTCCCTCTGGATGACCGTCTGGAGGCCCTAAAGGCGCGATCAGAACATAAGTCAGAGCTCCCATCTGCCTCTCCCCTGCCACTCAGCCCACAGGGTACGTGTGAGGCCCCCAACCTCTGTCCAGACCAAGAATCCCCAGAACTTGGGGGAATGTAGTGCTGTAATTTTTTTTTCTTTTTTGGCCACGCCGTGCTGCTTGTGGGATGTGGGACCTTAGTTACTCTATCAGGGATTGAACCCAGGCCCTTGGCAATGAGAGCGTGGAGTGCTAACCACTGGACCACCAGGGAACTCCCACTGGGTGAACTTTCAAAGCCTTCTCTCTCCCTCACTAACTGGTCAATTTCATTCTCCTTCACTGGCTCCACCTCCACACCAGCTGGACCAATGTGCGTGTTGCCACCTTCATTCCACCCATGATCTCCTATTTCCAGTCTGAATCCTTCACCGGGATGCCTTCAGCCAGTCATCCCACCACCAGCACTGGTGGAGATTCCCAGCTTGGCACCTCCAGCCAGACTTGCACCTGAGCTGCACTTCTGTACACCCAGCCGCCCATTAACGCCATCTACCTGCACATCCCAGGAGCTTCCCAAACTTAACCAACTTCCTCCCAGCCCCGTGCCAGCTCCTCCTACTTCAAGGGCGGTGGGATGCCTACCCGCTCAATGATGCTGCCATAGTGGCAGCCCGTTTCCAGGACCCCCAGCCTTAACACTTGCCATTATCGCTCTCCAAGAAACCCTCTTTATCGCCATCCTCCCAAATTCCTACTTACACTTTAATAGAACCTTGTTTCCCTGACACCCGCCACCCCCCAAGGCGTACAGACACATCCGCCCCTTCTGCTCCCTAACAGCAGGGACACCTCGCTCCACACTGTACCTGTTTGTCCCCCCGACTGTCCACATCCTGAGGGCAGAGACTCGGGCTGCTCCACCTTTGCGAGCGGACAAGAGCGTCGGTACCCAGGGAGCGACCCGGGGGGAGTGCGGGGTGGGGGAGCGCGGCGCAGGGACGTGGCCTGGAAATCGCTGGCGTCCACGCCGAGTCCTACCTCGATGTACTCCTCCTCGTCCAGGACCCGCTGCCTGCTCGTCGGAGCCCCGGCCTCTCCGGCGGCGCGCTTCCTCCGGGTCCCGGACGCCGCGGGCACCAGCACGGCCCGGACCGCAGCGCCAGGCGTCTCCATCACTATCCCAGCACCGCCCCGGCGGCGCAGGCGCGGCGCAGGCCGGGGGCGGGGCGCTCCAACTGCGCAGGCGCCTGAAACAGCCCTACCAATGGGGTAGCCGCGCGTTTCGAAGGCCGGCCCGCGCTCCGTGTGACGTCGCCATGAGCCCTGAGCTTTATGGGAGTTGTAGTCTTCGTCCCGCCCTGCTCTGGTCTTTAGTATCTGGGCTGTGGGAGCCACGGGGCGCTGCGATAGGGGCTAGGGGCATGTTGCTCCCGCTAGTCGTGAAAAATTAAAGCACTACGGAACTGGAAGCTTTGGAATTCCAATTTCTCTCAAATAATCAATATACGCTTCTATGTTATTTTAAAAAATACGCTTCCAAAATTTTGGGTATATATGTTTCAAATTTTTTATTCAAAGTTTATGCAAGAAAAGAAATGTCTGGTGCCTAAGTGCCAGAGTTGGCTTCCCAGAAGGCTAATCCTCATTGAAATGGACAAGAAAATTGTCTAAGCATTTTTCACGAAAGATCATGTCTTCCCAAAAGGTTGTAAATTATGTCAAACAATTTCTGCCCCAGAACGATTCAGTACAATTCAGTGGGGACTCCGTGGTATGATTCCTCCCCTTGTGGAGCTGACAGTTGAATGCAGAAGACAGACACTAACCAGATCAACCCACAAACAAGCATAACACAGCAGTGGGTAGGTGCAAAAAAAGAAGAATCCTACCTAGGGGGCATCCTACCCAGGGGGCATCTTACCTAGTGGGCATCCTACCCAGGCTACCTAGGTGGTAGCCTACCTAGGAGACAGCCTACCTAGGGGGCAGTCAGGGGAAGTTCCCCAGGAAGGAAGTGGTTTCAGATCCAAAGGATGAACAGGCATTGAACAGGTGGAGGGGGAGAGCATGTGCAAAGTTCCAGTGGGAGGAGACCTTTGGATACACAAAGTGCAAGGAGCAGTGGGGTGGGAGCTGACGCCAGAGGGGCAGGGCCAGGCTGCACGGGGCTCGTGGGTCATGGGTCACGGGTCACGGCGAGGAGTTCTGTCTTTGTTCTGGGAGCAGTGGGAGCCCTGGGAGTGCTGTAGGCAGGGGAGAGGCATGTTCAGAGTTGCACCCTGACTTTTATGGAGAATGAATCACAGACGAACCGGAGTAGGTACAGGTGGACCAGTTGGAGGCAGCTGCAACGGTCAAGGTGAGAGATTACAGCGATTTTCATCAGGCTGGTGCAGTCGAAGCTGGGGAGAAGGCAGATTCTGGGAATGTTTGGGGAGGTAAAATCGACTTGCCGTTGGCCTGGGTTTGGTGAGGGAGAAGAGGGGTCAGGGCACCTGCCCCTAGCTCTCTGGCTCACGCACCGGGGATGCACAGGGAAACAGCCTGCCATGGACAAAGTGACCTAGAGGAGCCCTGGTCTTCCAGGTGGAGTCATAAAAGGGACAGCTGGACATAACTGCCTAGCACAGGGGAGAACCCTGGACTGGGATGTAAATGTGAGACGGAGATGGGACTCAAGCCTGAGGCTGGATGAGATAAACCAGGGTGAGAATGGATATGAGAGGGGAGAGTCTGGGCTTGGCCCAAGGACACCTGTGTTACAGGCAGCTGTGGGGCGAGCCTGCCCAAGATAGCTGGAGAGGAGGGAAAAGCCAGGAGGGCAGCATAACTACTGGTCCCTTGAAAGCAGAGCACTGATCACGGGTGCCCCACACCATGACGTAAAGCCACTCAGCCAACGAGGACGAGCTTTCTGGGACCAGGGGGATGAGGGTGTCCCAGCTGTGGGGAAGCTCCACAGGCAGTCTGTGCCGTCTCCAGGGATACGGCCAGGATTCAGGAAAACGGGCTCTGTGACAACAGGAAGTGTGCATCCTGGAGGGTGAGCGAGAGCTGCTGTCCTGCCCAGGGACCCCTCGCGCTCTGTGTTCTCTGAGCTGACCTGCTTCAGAGAGTTCCGCCCAGGAGCTGCCCTGGCTTCTGCACCTTTTGTGGAGGGACTGTGTCTCCTGCCAGATACCCACCTGCATCCCTCCAGGACCTGTGAGGAGGCAGAACAAAGTCCCCACGCCAGGTGAGGGGGGTGTTAGGTGCCTCGCACCCACCATACAGGCCAACTTGGGGAACTGAGGCCTTGTTTTCACGCTGTCCTTCTTGCTGGGGCCAGGATGATGGAGGTGACAGCATTTTCCAAGGCAGTGGAGGGGGGGATTCTCCCAATTGAACCTGGCCCCACCCCACAGGGTGGCAGAGATTGGCTGCTGTGAGGGAGGCAGACACTCCTGCATGGAAACCCCAGAGTGAGGAAACCAAGGACCCCCACCCAAGAAGCAGCTCCTAGAGTCCAGTGCAGGGTGCCGGGCCATGATCTGTGGGGCAGTCTGCTCTGCTGGGCCCACCCTGGCACAGGGACGGAGGACTCACCGGGCTGTGACAAGCCTGCCCCTCACTCCCTGGGAAGGAGAGGAGGGGCAGGTCCCGGCTGGGTGTGGAGTGGAGCCACGGAAGACTTCGAGTCTGGACTGCTTTCTCAGAGCTTGTAGTAGCTTGTTTATTTCTCAGTATCCACACAAGACTCACAAGATTGAGCAGCAGGAACGGGGCTTGGAGATTACCTCACCCAGCCTTCTTATTCCGCGGGTCAGGACGCCCAGGCCCCTGGCACCAGCCCCAGGACGCAGAGACCCCACCCGCCCAGCCTCTGGAGGGTTCTAGGCCGGTCAAGGGGGCTGCGTCCCTGCTGAGGAGATGACTGAGGCCAGCAGGAAGTGGGCGGGGATGAGGACGCTGGGTGCCACTGTTGACAAGGGGTGGCTCCTGTCCTGGGGTGACTTGGTGCCTCCTGGGGTGTGGTGGGGGATTGAGAAAGTTGATCTGCTCTGTGCCCCGCACCCCACCCCCGAGTCTCCCCGGCCCTCCTGCCCGCTTGCGCTTGGGAGGGAAGGCGCATGGAGCACGGAGCATCGGTGCGCTCTCCTTCCGCGGGGCGGGTGGCGCGGAGGACACACGCAGAGGGGCTCCCGCGTTGAGCTCCAGGACGCAGGCAACTGGGCAGACACCAGGTTAGAGGCTGGCGTCCTCTCCCAACTCCTATTAGGGTAGGTCTGTCCTCTCCCTGAGCCGGCCCCATAAGGTGCCACCGAGCCCAGGAGTAACTCTGCAGCCGTCAGCAGCTCTCCTTCGGGGGCTTCTTGGCTCCCGGCAGGAGCCTCGCGGACGCCGATGTGCGCTTCTGGTGTCGCCACTTGGCCCGGCGGTTCTTGAACCAGACCTGAGGAGGAGGAGGAGGGGCGCTCAGGCAGGCCCAGCCCCGGACCCGCGTCCCGCGCGGTTCCCAAGTGCACCGGCCGGGGCTTCAGGACGGACGCGGGCTGCGGGGCCGGCCCCGCGCAGCGGCTGAGCCACCGCCCCTCATCCGCTGCTGATGGGGACCGGCGCTCGGGCCTCGGGACCGGGACCCCTTTCCCACCCGGAGCATTCTCCTCGTCCGCCCCTTCCCACCCCCGCCTCCGTCCGACGGCGCCCGGGACGCCCCTTCAACAGCTTCGCGCTCTTCCGAGTTCCCCAAATTCCGGAACAGAAACGCGCGCCTCATTTGTCTTGAGCGGGGGGTAGGGGGTTAAAACTAAGGAAAAGAAAACGAGCCCGACCTCTGCTCCAGCCCGCGCCCTTCCTCCCGCGCCATCCCCAGGCGCCGCTGCCAGGGACCCACCCGGCGCCCCTGCTTTTCCGGGGCCTGTGCGCCTCCGCCCGCCACGCGAGGCCGACTCTTCCAAGGCTGCAGGCACCCACCTCCACGCGCTCTTCGCGCAAGCGAATGCGGCCGGCCAGGCGCTCGCGAGTGCCCACGTCGGGGTACTGGTTTTGCACGAAGAGCGCTTCCAGCGCCTGCAGCTGCTCCTCGCTAAAGATGGTGCGGTGGCGCCGCGTGCGCCGCTGTGGACCAGGGCCGCCTGCGCCGGGCGGCGCCCCGGAGCCCCCGGTGGGTGTGGCCAAGGGCAAGGGCGCCGCGGGCCCCAGCCTCAGCGGCCACGGTAGTCGCGCGCCTGCGGGACGAGGGCTCGGTGAGGCGCGGGCCGGGGGCCGGGCTCCGCACCCCCCTGCGCCGCCCCGGGTCCCTCAGCTCCCGCGCCCCGCGCCCACTCACCCAGGCCGGCAGCCGGCTCCGGGGACCCGCGGGGCGCCGCGCGGGGGCCGCAGCAGCAGCAGCAGCAGCAGGCGCAGGGCACGGCCTCGGGCGCCTCAGGCTGCCGCGGCTCCGCGGGGCTCTGGCTGCCGGCGGGCGGCGGCGGGCGGGCGACCCGGGCCGGGGGGCTGCTCTCGGGTAGGCCGGAGAGGATGTGCTCGATGGAGAAGGGGCAGGGCCGCCCGGGACCCCTGCGGCCCGCCGCGCCCCGCGCCGCCGCCATTCCTCCCGCCCGCCGGCGCCGTCGCCGCGGGAATATATCCGTCGGGGGGGCGCGCCGTAATCCCCGAGCCGGGCGCCGCGTCCACGCGGGTTAATCCCGCCGCGCGGCCAGGAGCGTACTAATCCCCGGCGGCGGCGGAGGCGGGCGGGAGCGGTCGCAGGAAGCCCTGCGCTGCAAGTCCATGCCCCCGACTCACAGGGCTGGCAGAGGCGCGCAGGGCCGCCTCCAGTGCCCGCCAGCCCCCGGTCCAACCCTGCGGCGTGGGCAAGGGCCCGAGGACGCCCGGACCACGGCAGACCCTGGGCGCGGGGCCGCCTCCTGGCCCAACTCCTGGGTGCCCTGGTCCTGTAGCCACCGCGACCAGGGCTGGTTCCTTGTCCCCTTCGGGGACCTACCAGGCGGAGGAGCAAGTCTGGAGACCCCCCCCCCCAAACTGCACAGTCTCCTGGCCCCCAAACTCCTGAGCTCCAGCCTCAAATGGGGCCCAATACCCTCGGCAACCCCGCGGTCCCACCGCACTTCGGCCCAAATTCCCCCGCCCCCTCCACACACATACTTAGGAGCCCGGGTCTCAACCTCGTGGAGGAAACGGGGGTGCGGGCGGGAAGCTATCTCTGCTCATCACCAAACCCGCAGCCCCACTGCCCTGGGCCCCATCGGAGGCCCCACTTACGTGCTCCGGGGAAACTTATCATCTGCTTTCCGGCACTTCCCAGCATCCCCCAAATCATCCCACGCCTCCCCACCCTCCTCACAGCCATTCTTCTCAGGAGCTGACTCCCGTGTCCACACCCCCACTCCTCAGCTCCGTCCACACCGTCCCTCCGGGTCATTCTGCCCAACTTTGTCGGTGACCTGCACTTTGCCAAATTCCGGGAAGACCATTTCGTCCTCATCTAAGCAGTGTCAGACAGCTGGCCAGGACTTCTGCTGAAGGCCTTCTCTGGACCTCTGAAAAGTTACTGTGTGGCTCACAGGACAGAGCAGCAGACAGCCTGGCTTCTGCCCCAGCTGTCACTTCCTGGCTGTGGGATAGGTTCCTTCACCACCACCGCCACCACCCCACCGTGCCTCAGTTTCCCAATCTATAAACTGGCATAATAACAGTGACCTAACTCTCAGGTGCTTGGAGGGCTCAACCAGTTACTGTGTGCGAGGTTAGAACCCCGCTGGGCAGGGGCCTCCATGAACGGCAGGTACCATTAGGGGGGCAACACACAGTCTCATGCTTCTCCTCCCACCTCACACACCCTTCCTCAAGCTCCCTTGCTGACTCCACTCTGGTGTCAGTGAGGACTCTGGACTTCAAGTGACAGAACCTGCGGACTCAACTGTCATAAGAGTCCTGACACCAGGACTGCCCAGGATCTGTTAATCTGGAAGCTCTGTGAAGGAGCCACCACATCTGTGAGTGGTCCACCTCATGGTCGCAAGATGGCTGCCACTGCCCCAGAGCTCCCATCTCTTCCTACGTGTCCCTTTGGGTGACCCTGGAAACCTCTCCCAGCCAACTTCCCTCGCAGAACCATGTGCTCACCATTAGATCAGAGAGGCACCTGGGGGCCGACTACCCATTGAAGTCAGTTCCTCAAGGATGGGGGCTACAGGGTCAGTGGTCATAAAGGCTGGGCCCTGGTTGTTCCTTTATCCCTCCCCATTTCTGAAGCTTCAGACACCACCTCTGTGCCAAGGACTCCCCAGCTGATACCACCAGCCTGACTTCTCCCTCTGCTCCATGTCCCATTTCAGCCACCAATGAACATCTCCCAGTCACCATGCCTGGGGCAGACTCAAGATCTCAAAATCCATCCCTTGCCTGGTATTCCCCACCTTGATAAATGGGGCGCCTACCCACCTATCCACCTTGGTAGATGCACCATCTCTCCACCTGTCCACCTTGATAAGCGGCCCACCGTGATGCATTTCAAAGATGTCAGCAAATACTTTGACACTCCTCCCTTCAGGAGGTGAAATCTAATCCCCTCTCCCTGAACGTGGGCTGGCTTAGTGACTCGCTTCTAACCACTAGGAGGCAGCAGAAGTGACACTGTGGTTTTTGAGGCCAGGTCCTACAGCTGGGTGACACAGTTTGTCTCTCTCATCTTGGGATGCTTGTTCTCCGAGCTCAGCCACCACGCTGCGAGGAGGTGCCTGCAGCCACAAGGAGAGGACAGGCAGAGCAGTTCCCGCCAGCAGCTCCAGCTTAAGGACCAGCCAACAGCCAGTATGGAGCACCGCCAAGGGGTGAGTCAGCCTTCCGGTGGCTTCTGTCCCAGCCACCATCTACTGCAATCGCAGGAGACGGAAAGTGAGAACGGCGAGAGGCAACAATAGGAGGTGACTGTGGTGTCCTCAGCACTGAGTGTGAGGTGGCTGTCATGGGCTCTAGGTAACCAGACGGGTCCTGGTACTGGAATGCAATGCTGCAGATACAAACCCTAAACCATGGGCACTGGCTTTGTGACCAGGCAGCGGGGGGAGTGGGAAGGAACCTGCTGAGACTGACGGTGGGTCTTAGGGAAGGTGAGGAGAATGTACTGGAAGATGGAGGGAAGGAAACCCTTGTTGTGGAGTGGCAAGAAGTTTAACAACATTGTCACCTGTCATAGAACAGGAAATAGGAAATGTACCTGGTGAGGCAGATGATGTAGCTACGGAGATGCCCAGCAGGGGTGTTGAAGGAGCTGCCTGGCTTCCTCTGGCTCCCTACAGAGGAAGGAGAAAGAGATGTTCAAAACAAAGCAGCCAGAGTTAGATTTACACCTACCGCATGTATCAGCAATTCCATCCCTGGGATTCACCCTGGAGAAATGAAAACTTGTGCTCACACAAGACGCTGCCCATGAATGTTTAGAGCAGCTCTAATCACTATCGACAAAGCTTGGAAACAACTCAGACTCTCATCAGCTGGTGAATGGATGAACACGCCGGGGTCCGGGGTCCATGCACACCAGGGAGGAGCCCAGAGCGACAGCAACACGTGCAACAACAGGGATGGACCTCACACACATAGTATTTAGTAAACAACTTTCAAAAGGCTACATACTGTATGACTGCATGTATTGGACACTTTGAAAAAGGCAACATTGGAGTGATGGTGATGTAATCAGTGATTGTGGTGGGGGAGCACCCGAGGGAGTGGGGGTGGGTGCTGAGGGGAGGCTGGTTCCACTCTAGCCCAGGGGTTCTGGGGCCCCCTTTAGTGAGGTTGGGGTGCACAGCCTTCTCGGCCAAGGCAGCTCCCACCAGTGATGCTCCAGGGAAGGGGCAGCTGCAAGTCACCAGCTCACACCGCTGGGGCACTTCCTGCAGCCCTGCCACCCTCAGCCCACCCACTCTCACGTTAAGTGCACTGAAGTCAAACTCCCCAGGATTCTGGTTGGGCACATTTTCTGGATGTAAGTGGAAGGCTAGTGGGACAGGCTGCAGCTGCCATGGTCCCAAGGCTGTAACCTGGCACCATCCCCCTCTCCTTATCAGATATATAATGTACAAATATTTTCTCCGATTCTGTAGGTGGTTTCTCACTTTCTTGATAGTGTCTTTTGAAGCACAAGATGTCAAGATTTTGAATAAGTTGAATTGTTTTCTTTGGTTGCTTAAACTTCTGGTGTCATTTGTAAGAAGACATTGCCAAATCCAAGATCATGAAGATTAACCCTGATGTTTTACAGTTTTATAAATTATAAGTTTTCTAGTTTTAGCTCTTACATTGATGCATTTTGAGTTAATTTTTGTGTATGATGTTAGGTGAGGATCCAATGTCATTCTTTTGCATTTGGATATCCAGTTGTCCCAGTCCCATCTGTTGAAAAGATTATTCTTTTCCTCCTCGAATTGTTCCCCACCCTCCAGTTGCAAATCAATTGACCATAAATGTGAGGACTTACTCCTGGATTCTGAATTCTGCTCCATCGATCTATACATTTATCCTTACTGTCTTGATTACTGTAGCTTTGCAGTCAGTTTTGAGATTGGGAAGTGTGAGCTCTCTAACTTTGTTCTTTTTTTCAACATTGATTTGGCTATTCTGGTTCCCACAAACTTTCATGTGAATTTTAGGACCAGCTTATCAGTTTATTCGAAGAGACCAGCTGGAATTTTGATAGAGATTACATTGCATCTGTAGATCCATTTGGGGAGCACTGCCATGTTAACAACATTAACTCTTCCAATCCATGAACATAGGATGTCTTCCATTTATTGAGATCATCTATAATTTCTTTCAGTAATGTTTGTAATTTTCAGAGTACACATTTTTTACTTCTTTAATTTATTCTTCAGTATTTTGTTCTTTTTGATACTATTATAAATGGAATGGTTTTCTTAATTTCATTTTCAGATTGCTCACTGCAAGTGTATAGAAATACAATTGATTTTGTACATTGATCTTGTATCTTGCAACCTGCTGGATTTTATTAATGCTAATAGTTTTTTGTGGATTCTAAAGGTTTTCTATATACAGGGTAATGTCATTTGTGAACAGAGATCTTTACTTTTTCCTTTACAACACTGGTGCCTTCTGCTTCATTTTCCTGTCTAAGTTCCCTGGCTAGAACCTCCAATAAATCACCGAACAGCAGTGGTGAGAGTGGGCACTCTCATGTTGTTCCTGCTCTTAGAGGGAAAGGATTCAGTCTTCATCATAATGTATCATGTTAGCTGTGGATTTTTTTTACAGATGCCCTTTATCAGGTGGAGGAAGTTCCCTTCTATTTCAAGTTTGTTGAGTGTTTTATCACAAAGAACTGTTGTACAATCCATCTATTTTTTTCAGGAGCTAGACTAATGAACTAAATCATGGGTTTGCTAGAGACCACCACCTGCATCCTTTAAGTCTTTAGCCATGACATTCAACTCTGCTATTCTTCCTAAGAGAAAGCATTTTTTTCATCTTGGTAGGGGGCAGTTCAGGAGCTCTCACTTACAAAATAGGTCTTACTCTAAAGATTAGAAACCACTGCGGAAGTTCTGCCAAATGTTACATATGTCTATTCCAATTATGCATTCAGAAACTGGAGAATAGCCAGTGGGTAGGTTAGGAGCCCCCCGGCGTCCCCTGTGAGATGGAGTTGGGTCAGTACTCCATTTATCGCCTGCCCTCTCTATATTCCCAATCCAACGGAGAGGCCATGATGGCACATTGGGTCCCAGGGACCAGTGTTAACATGGAGACTGTATCCAATGGCTCTGAGATGGCCTGGGTTTTCCTCTTCTCCAGCATAAAATTACCTGAGGAAAGGGACATACGTACCTTTGCAGAGGATTAGGGGCATCAAGCCTACAAACACTCTCCACAGTGTTGCCGGATCCTTCCTCACGGGAGGAGACTTCAGCAGACGAGGTCTGGGTCTGAGAACTGGCTGGAAACTGAGCAAGGGATCGTGACACTCCTTTGGGTCTGGTGATTTCAGTCTTTTGCTCTTCTATTATTTTATTTTTTAATGTGGTAAAAAATACATAGCATAGAATTGACCGTTTTAACCATGTTTAAGTGTACATTCACAATGTTGTAAGTCATCATCATTATCATCTCAAGAACTTTCCCATCATCCCAAACAGAAACCCTGTACCCATTAAACGCTAGCTCCCCATTTCCTCCTACCCTCAGCCCCTGACAACCAGGGGTTATGGCTGAGTACCATTGCATGTATACATCACATTTTAAAATCCATTCATCCGTCAGTGGACATTTGGGTTGTTCCTACCTTCTGACTGTTGTGCATAGTGCTGCTGTGAACATGGGTGTATAAGTATCCGCTCGAGTCCCTGCTTTCACTTATTTAGGGTAGATACTTAGGAATGGAATTGCTGGATCGCATGATAATTGTATGTTTAACTTTTGAGAAACTGCCAAACTGTTCTCCATATCAGCAGTACCATCTTACATTCCCACCAGCAAAGCACAAGAATTCCAATCTCTCCACATCTTCACCACCATTTGTTATTTTCCCTTTTTAAAAAAAAAAAAAAATTTGTAGTCATCCTAATGGATGTGAAGTGGTAGCTTATGTTTTTGTTTTGTTTTGGTATTTTGGCAGCACGTGGGATGGTTCCCCAACCAGGGATCAAACCCGGGCCTCCGCAGTGAAAGTGCTGAATCCTAACCACTAGGCCACCAGGGAACTTCCCGGTAGCTTATGGTTTTGATTTACATTTCCTTAGTGACTAGTTATGTTGAGCATCTTTTCATGTGCCTATTGGCCCTTTGTAGAACATACTTTTTTGGGGGAAATACAATCCAAACTTGCTGATTTCATGTATTAATTTATAGACCTCAATTTGATTTTGTATATACTTTAAGGTTTTCTATGTAAATGACGATATCACATGAACATATTATCTGCTAGTGTTACTTCTTCATCTACAATCTTTATGGCTTTCATTCTTTTCTTCCTTTCTTTTTTTCGGCACAGCATGGCTTGCAGGATCTTGGTTCCCTGACCAGGGATTGAACGTGGGCCCCGGCAGTGAAAGTGCTGAGTCCTAAGCACTGGACCGCCAGGGAATTTCCAGGCTTTCATTTCTTTTTCTTGTGTTATTGAAATGTCTAGACCTCCAGTAGATCATTGAATAAAAATTGAGACATCAAACATCTTTGCCTTGCTTCCAGTCTTAGAGAGAAACAACTCAGTCTTTAAGCCCTAAGTATGATGATAGATGTAGGTCTTTCATAGATGCAGCAAAGGTTATATTTTTCATAGATGAAGGAAAACCCATCCCCTTGCTTTTCCCAGTTTCTCAAGGCTCATAGCCTGTTCCTCCATCTTCAAAGACGGCAACAGTAGGTCAAGTCTTTCTGACCATTGTATCATTCTGACCTCTTCTCCCCCGCTTCCACTTTTAAGGGCCCTCATGATTACATTGGACCCACCAGAAATAATCTCCTTATCTCAAGATGATAAACTTAATCACAATTGCAAAGTCTCTTTTGCTATGTAAGGTAACATATTCACAGATTCTGGGGCTCAGGATGTAGACATCTTCGAGGGGACCATTATTATGCCTAGCACAGTTTGATCCCTGGTCGGGGAACTAAGATCCCATATGCCACGCAGCATGGTCAAAACAAACAAACAAACAAAAACTAAAAAAAAAACAACAACAAAAAACCGGGATCTAGTATTTAGATAAGCCTCAAAACATATTTAAAATGAGTGAGCAGAGTTACACTTCTCTTAATGGTAGAGTCACTTGCTTTGGACTAATCCTCCTATGGATAACAATGATAAACTCTGAACAATATATTTTTTAAAAAACTGAAAACACTGGATATGAACAGGTAGAAACTAGGAGGGTCAACACTTGTACCAACACTTAGGACCTCAGCATCTCTTTTTGGGGGCACACAACAGAAGCACTGGGGGACTAACCATCCCAGTTGCACACTGAGAGCCCTGCTTCCTGGGAAACTGATGAACAGGGTGACACGGGTGAGGGGTGGAGTGTTAAGCGACAAGGCATTTGGGTCCTTGGAAACCCCCATGGAAGCACTGGGGCAGACACAGACTGCTTCAGTTTTCAACTGTCTCGAGGAAGCAGGGACCAGCATTTTAGTCCCTATGCCGGTTAGTCCTTGTCTGCTGTGTAGGTGGCTCCATCACCCAGGGCAACATTCCAAGGTGGAGGCAGCTGTGCACCATTGGTCGCCAACACTCAGAGGCGCAGGATGGGTGAGCTGACCACTGAAGGGGTCCACGACACCATCCGCTGGTCCACACCCACCCGCTGGTCCTCCTTGGTGAACGGCCTGCCTTTCCACCTCGCCACCTAGGTAAACAACACCTAGAATTCCGTTCACCTTGGTAAATGCACACCTGTCCACCCAGGTAAGTGGCCCACCCACCCATGTGCCTCCTTGACACCCACCTGCCCTCAGAGCTGCCCCAGCCTCAAACTGCATGCAGTGCTGGACACTCCCCTACTGCCACCCCCAAATCTCACCAGTTCTGCCACCCCCTCAGTGCCAATGCAGATGCCGGCCACCTGGGCCCCCACAATGGCCTTTCTACATACTCCCGGCTACTCTCCTGGCCTGAGACCCTCCCCAAAGTGAGCCTGCTGTGGTGGCTCAGGTGCGCTCTGCATACAGATCCAATCACGGCACTCCCCTGCTCCAAACGCTCAGGATAAGAGGATCAGCCGCCTTATCTCCGTGCTCCCCCAGCCCCTGGACTCTGACACCTCTGTCCACCTGCCCCAGCTGGCCTCTGCCTCCTTCCTCCAGCTGCCCAGACTCTGGGTCAGCTCCGCCACTGCGCCCAGCTCGCAGCCAGCCCGGTGCTCTCAGCCCCATCCTGGGGTTCAGCGTGGCTTCTGCAGAGGGGCCTTCCCTGCGCACCCCACCTGCCCGCCGCCAGGGGTCTCAGGCCCCCTCCCCCTGCACACGCTCCCTCCACAATCCCAGTCGCTCCCGGCTGCCCTCCCTTCTGTTTCTCCGACTAAAGAGCGGACCCAGATGCTTCCAGGACTGGTCAAAGCTGGTCAGTGCCAAGAGACAGGGGCAGATGGGGGGCAGGAACTCCGGGGGGTGAGGAGGGGGCAGAGGAGCATCAGGGGCCAAGGGAATGGATCTGCAGGTAAGTCCTGAGGAACCACGGGCTTTGGACAGTCAGAGGCCGGAGCACAAGGTAGGCCCAGCAAGGTCCAAGGCCGGTTTGGGGGTTAGGTCCCATCAAGTGCGGAGGTGAGGCCAGAGGGGAGGCGGGGAGCGTGGTCCCTCGGCAGCCAGGGTGGGGGCGGGGAGAGGTCCTGGGCGCAGGACCTCTGGGGAAGGCGGGGGGCTGGGGAAGGCGGACTCGGGATGAAGGTGGGAAGTGGCCCCCACCCTCCCTCTCCCCGCAGCGCCCACCCGGGCCCCCTTTCCTGCCCCCTCCCCGGCGGGACAGGCGAGGCCATCAGGATTCCCCTGATTGCTTTCTTTCATGCCGGTGCCTTTCTCAGCAGCAAACGCCCGCTAATGCCTCCTTTATCACGGAATTAGGGGATTTAGGGCCCACAGCACAAAGAGGCCCTCGATAGCAGCCGTAATCAAGGGCCAATCGGCCGATCTCGAGCGGGCCCGGGAAGAAAGCGAGCGCGGGGATTAGCGCGGCGGGGCCGAGATAGCATCGCGCGGCCGCGGGCTGAGGCCGCCGGGGAGGGCCGGCCGCGCCGCGGAGAAAGGCCGGCTTAGCCGCTCGGCGCCGGGGATTCTGAAACCATTAGCGGGGATTAGCACGAGGGCTAATCTGCTTTGGCCGCTCAATTGTCAGCGGGACGCGCACGCGGGGGACCCCTCGGTGGAGCGGCCGCTGGACCTCTGCAGTCCAGGCCCCGGGCTGGTCTCGGTTTTCTCAGCGGTGACTGGGCCAAGCCCAGTCCCGAGAACCAGAGGAAGGGATGAACCCTTCGGTCCCTCAGGCCAACGGGTTATGCGTGCACCTGGCCCAGCAGGTGTGAGTGGAGCCTGGGTCTTGGCTGCAGCCTCCACCTCTGCCAGCCTCTGCGGGAGGTCAGGGCACAGCCCCTGCCTGTCCTCAGGGACCCCTTCCCTTCTCCTGGCCGGCTCCTCCCCATCCTGTTCCCCTCTGCACTCCACGTCTGGCTCTGTTCATCCCTTGTGGACTTGATGCCGGCCTACCCACTGAGCAAGGCACACACCCCTCCCCATCCCACAAGGCCAGGAAGCAGGTCGCAGACCAAGAGGATGCTGTCCGAGGCCAGGGAGGAGCCACTCCTTGCAGACCCTCCATCGCTCCCTTGGAATCCCATCCCAGGGTGTGGACCCCTAAGCCGGCTGATGTGATGCCATCTGCGGCCTCCCCAACCGCTTATTTTCAGCTCCTCATTAGGTGGGGCAGGGTGAGGACTGTGCAGACCTGGGCCTCCATAGATCCCAGAGAGGTCCTCTGTCTCCGCCTGGGTTTTCCCATCCGAGAAGTGGGGCTGACTGAGAGGAGGAAAGGTCCTGGCAGGAGGCCCACTGACCAGGGGTGCCACCTGTGTTTACTGCTGCCTTCTGGAGGGACATGCCCCAGGCCCCACTCCTTCTCCTGCGTTGGTAATGACAGGCTCCGGGAGTGGGGGACTTAGAGGGGTGTGCATGCACCATATGGTTGCCCTGGGCGCCTCTTCCATGGGGATGTGCCATGGTCACCGTGCCTTACTTGAGTCCACGACTGGAAACAGGTGGCTGGGCTGGAGATGGCCAGGCAGGCCATCAGTGGAGGACTGGGCGGCGCCATCAGTGGAGAGGCTGGTGGACCTCCTGGTCCCATCCCGCGACCCTATGTCCTTTCCCGTGGCTGAGACTGGGGACTTTAGAGCAAAAAGCTGCACGGGGAGGAAGATACAGGGGTGAGCCTCAGGCAGGTGCATCAGCAGCGCCCGTGGCAGCGTCCAGCGTGGGCGTTGGACGTTGGGGAGGGTGGGCGATGGTGGCTGCGCCGGCCGAGCGCTGACTGTTGGAGGCTGCAGACAAGGTCGGGGTACAAGCGATCCGCTCCGAGGACCTGGGTCTGACGGCAGTGAGCAGGAGGGGCCTTCAGATTGCCGGCCGAGCGCATGCGCGGGCCTGCGCCGGCCGGGCGCGCAGTGACGCCATCAGCGCGCGCCGCACGAATTCCGGGCGTGAGCAGCGCCGCTCCCCCCAGCCTCGGTTCTCTCTCTGTGAGGCCAGGACCCGAGCTCCCTGCCGGCGTCGCGGGTTCCCGCCCCGGCGAGTTCGGTTCCTCCCCCACGAGCGGGTCCGGAAAACTTCCTGAGTGTCTCCGGATCTCCGAGGCTGGGAGCTGAGTCGCCCTGAAGGTCTGCGGCCTTTAGCTGACGGCACGCGGGCACAGCTTCTCCCCGCGCCCCGGCCCCGGTCGCGGATGTTTCTTTACCTCCCCGATCACAGCCCTGGGTCGGGGGGTGTTCCCTCGGGCCGCGAGGATAGTGGGCTGGAGGCGGGGCTTCAGGGTGCGGTCAGCCTGGAGGGCCGCCAGGGACAGACAGACAGGCCTGTTGGCCCGAGAGCTTGAGCCCTAGACCGCTTTTCAGCGGGGGGTTGGGCGGCAGGCCACTGCCGGCTGCTGAGCAAGGGCGCTGGGATGGCCCATCTCTGGAGGTCACTCGGGAGATGACAGTCCTGTGGCCAAGTAGGGCCACAGGGCCAGGCCCAGCCAATGGAGGAATAAGTGGGAGTGGCTGGCCAGGCCGAGGAAACAAAAGTGACAACAGTTGGGGAGTGTCAGGCGTCAGGGCCTAGACCAATCTGAGCAGAGGGGAGGTTACTCTTAGGGATATTCGCCAGATGGGCGTGGGAAGAGGAGAGCTACAAGGCCACACCAGGGGCCACCATGTTTTCCGTGGTTCACTCACTCTGTTGGCCTAGGCTACGTTTGTCCACGATCCTAGGTGTTCTCTGTGGTCCTCCCATTGTCCTTTTCGGCTAGTTCTCCACTGTGCCTGCATCTCTCTCCTTGGCTCTGTTGCCAGATCTTAAGGAGGCAGGAGATCCTCAGACCCCCCCCCCCCCGATTCTGTGACTTATACAAAGGATCCTGGTTCAGGGAATCTGAGAACACGTAGGAAGCAGAATGTCAGTGAGGAAAATACTCTGGCATCCTCAGCTCAGATTGTGTTTGCTGTGAAGGCTGAGGGCACAACCCAAAAAACAGATTTCTCTTTGTTGGCTAAAAGGAGAGAGACCCATTTGTCAGGAGTGACTCTTTGTGTGTGTGTACTAAGCTCTGATTGCCATTCATCACCTACACAAGGACATGGAAAAACCAGAGGACGCTTGTGCAATAGTGGGTGAGGAGAGGCCTCAAGGAAGTGGGGGCGGGGGGCCCTGGAGAGCAGCTGCCTGAGGGCCTCTGTGATGGGGCTGGAGGTTGGCCAAGTCCTGTCCCAGGAGTGGCCACCACCTCACCCTTTGCTCCCTTGGCCTGTGTCTGAGGCCATTGTCCAGGGCACATTTTGTGATGATCCCAGGCTCAAGATGATGCCAGATGGTGAAGGCTGCCTGAGGCTGAGTGGCTTCCAGCTGGGCACAGAGGCTCTGGCTGTGGGCAGCATATGGTGACCTGGAGTCTCCACACTCAGCTCACATCTCTCCTCTGATATGCAGACCCAGTCACCTCCTGGGGCTCTCCCTGGCCCTGGCCTGTGTGTCCAGGTTGGTGAGGGATCACCCTGGAAGTTGATTCTTTTGCCTCCCGACTGCTCAAAGATCTGCCCACATCATTCTGCCCCTTTGCCCCAGTGCTGCAAAGGCAAGGTCCCCTGCCATCGGCCTCCTCCCTGCAGCCTTCAAGATCTTGGTTAAATGCAGCTGAGCTCCCTCCAGGCATCTGCCTGCCTCTCTAGCCACTCTCCACCTGCTCACTTCCCTCCAGCCTTGATGGTCTTCTCTCAGCTCAGAGACCCCACCCCGCCTCAGGTCTCAGTTCCAGGAACTGAGGCTGCCCACTTATTCCAGCTACCTGTGAACAGGCGGGGCCAGGGTGGGGGACCAGTGGTCCACTGGGGCTGGTGGATTCTCCAGGCTCACAGCCCCAGGGGACACAGGCCCAGCTCAACCAACTTTTCTGGCTGGGCTACCTGCTGTCCACCTTGTGCTGTGTGGCACAAGAGAGGGGTCCCTCCCCTCCTGGGTACAGGTCCCCATGCCCTTCTTTCAGTTCAGAGTAGCCTGTCCCCTTCCTCCTCGTGAAAGGGGATGGAGACAGGACTTGGGGTGCAGTCAATGAGCAGACGCCATTCCTAGAGGTCAGAATTCCAGGACACTGAGTCCCCTCAGGGCCCAGCTCCTGGGCTCTGCCCGCTCTAGGAACTACCTGGGACCCTGGGGCACTGCCAGCAGTCTCCCGTGAGGGTTCACTCTGTGCAAAGCATTGTTCTAAGTGCCTTACAGACATTACATCATTCCAGCCTCATAGCCCACTGGAGTGGGTTCTTGTGTCACCTCATTTCACAGGTTGGGAAATAAAGATTAGGTGGCTTGCCTCAGCCTGTGAACAGGGAAGCTTTGCTGCTGGGCCCTTTCTCCTGCATCTCCTGTGAGCACTGAGGGCACACACACAGCCTGGTCCTTCAAAACCACATTCCCTTGCACCCTCAAGCCCACCCTCGGCCCCCAGATCTGCCCCAGACACCAGGTGCTGTGTGAGGTTGCTGGGGTGAGGAACTCTCTCCCAGAAGGAGGAGCTCCAGGAATGGGACCTGCTTGCTGGGAGTCTCCTGCGGGCAGGTTATTTCCCAGTCTGAGCTAAGCCCTTTGTGTGGCTTTTGCCCTGTAGTCCCTTGGACAGGAAGTTCCTTCGGCCCCTCACAGCCTGGGGCACTGGCTTATCCCATCCTGTTCACACCTCCTCCACCTGGCTTGTGGGTGGTGGTTCCCAGCCAGATCTGGGCCACAGGGGCCCTCCAGTTCAGGGTTCTTTGGCCCCCATGCTGGGCTGGGCTCCCAGCTGTGCCTGGGTCCCGGGATAGGGGGTCTTCAGCAAGAGGGACACCTTCCTGAGGTTGAGCTGTGGGGTGAGGGCTCTAAGTGCCCACCCCTTCCTGCCCCAGGGCTGCTACCTCCCAGCCTAAGTGAAGGATTAAGAAAGGACCTCCTGGACTTCCCTGGTGGCACTGTGGTTAAGAATCCGCCTGCCAATGCAGGAGACACGGGTTCGAGCCCTGGTCCGGGAAGATCCCACATGCCGCGGAGCAACTAAGCCCATGCGCCACAACTGAGCCTGCGCTCTAGAGCCCACGAGCCACAAGTACTGAGCCCGTGTGCCGCAACTACTGAAGCCTGTGCGCCTAGAGCCCGTGCTCCACAAGAGAAGCCACCGCAATGAGAAGCCCGTGCACTGCAACGAAGAGTAGCCCTGCTCCCTGCAACTGGAGAAAGCCCACACGCAGCAAAGAAGACCCAACGCAGCCAAAAAAAAAAAACCAAAGGACCTCATGCTCAGACTCTCAGGGGACCAAAAATTGGTCACCCCAAAGCAGTGCCCCTTGAGCAGACCATCACAGGGAAACCATGAGGGGGTAAGGTGGGCTGGGCCACAGGCTGCAGGACAGACAAGAGTCTGAGAGCACTGTCTCCAGGTGCAGCCACCAGCGTGGGGCAGCTCTCCTCTGCCCACTCAATGTTGCCTGCCAGGTGACCCTGCAGGATCTTGCCCCCAGGCCACAGGCAAGGCCTGGATGGAGGCCAGATGTTCCTTGGCCTGGCGTCAGGCCTCCCAAGGGGTTAACACTGTGGCCACAGCTCGCTTGCCCACCAGCCTGCCTGGCCCCAACAGTGTCCTCGGATGAGGAGTGGGCCTGCCCTTGGCAGAGGTGTGGCCACCACTGCCCACCCACAGATGGGCTGACACAGGGACAAGAGGCTGCAACAGGATCCAGTTTATTCTGCCTTGGAAGGGTGGTCCTGAGAGTGGCAGGTGCCACCCTGTCCTGGGCGGAGGGAGGGCCCAAGGGCTGGTTAAGGCCAGTGGCGGGAGAAGCGGGGAGTACGCAGCCCCTGGAATGCAGTGAGGCCAGGCTGAGGCCCGGAGGCAGCTGTGGTAGGCCGGCGTGATGCCCCTGCTGCCCAGGGTGGAAGGCACCGGGCTGGGACCAGGCCATGGCTACAGGGCCGTGACCCAGGCCGCACAGGCACCCCGGGAAGTGGGGCACAGGGTCACAGAACACGAAACATGAAACACAGGCATACAAGTAAGCACGTGGACAAGTGGGCACAGATTCACAGGCCAGAGGAACACCCGGTCTCAGCTGGACACATGGACACCACGGCGGTGTCATACAGACCACAAGGGACACATGGACCCGATGGCCACAGGGGACAGCCCTGGGCCATGGACTGTAAGGGACAGGAGAAGGGGACCTTTTGGCACGACTGCACTGGAATTGTGAGAAGGGGGCGCTGGGGGCAGCCCATGCGCAGACCCCGGGGCTCAGTCTGTCTTCCACACTTTGTTGAGCAGCTTCACCACCTCGTCGTAGATGACGAACACGATGGCCACGTCCAGGCACACCCGGCCCAGGCGGGGGACGGTGCCCTTGTAGAACCTGAGGGAAGAGGGTGAAGAGAAGAGGAAGCCAGCTTGTCTCGAAAGTGTGGGTGGGTCCAGAGATCCGAGGGAGGAGCAAGAGCAGAAAGAGCAGACTCCCTGGGGACAGGACAAAGGGAGGGCCTGGGGTGGGTGGACAGGAGGTGAGGTGTGGCCCAGGTGGAAGGCGGGGGCCTGGGGTGGGGACGGCAGCCCTGCCCCTCCCCCACTCACGCCTTGGGCCCCTCGTTCCTCAGGATCTGCAGGCCGCAGTCCCACGTGTTGCGGTACTTGTGCGCCTCCAGGCCCTGCAGAACACCAGCAGCTGCGGGATTCAGCAGCCAGTCCCACCCCTTCCCGGCCCCGCCCAGGCCCCGCCCCCACCTGCATCCGGGTCTTGATCACGTCCAGAGGAGTGTTCCCGAAGACACTGGCTGCGCCCGCGATGGCTCCAAACACGCCAGTGATGAGCGGGTTCATGGGCTTGTCGGGGTTGTCCCCTGGATGGGCGTGAGGGCTGCGGTAAGAAGGGGACGGAGGACAAGGGCTGGGTTCCAGGCCTGGAGGTAGGGTCTTGGGGAACAGACGCACCTCGGTACCAGTTGCGCAAGGAGGTCATGACGAAGAATCGAATGGCCTGGTTGGATCCCTGCTTCAGCACGGTGGCCGTGAGGCCCTGGTACGTCCCCTTCAGCCCTGGGGCGGGCAGGCACTGCGGTCACACTGACGCCTCCAGGCCCCGGCCCGCAGGAGCACCAAGGCAGGAAGGGGAGGTGCCAGCCCTTTCCAGCCGGACCCAGGTCCGTAACCCCACCTGAGGGTAAGGCTGAGTGGCTCACCTTGTTCCCGCACGATCTCCCTGACCCCGTGGAAGAATCCTCTGTATTTGGGGCTGGGGGAGGTCTGGTCATGGATGAACTTCACCTGAGAAAGAGGGAAACAAAGGCGCTGGCTCCCAAGGGTCAGGGCAAGGGCACACCTGGCCTCTGAAACACGTGGCCCCAGGAGCAAGAGGGCCGCCTTACCGAGGAGCCTCTGCCGTCACGTCTGCTGGTTTTTCCCCACAACTTAGGCAGCAAACACGTGTTACCTTATGGTTTGTGCTCGTAAGTTTTTTAAGACCTTGTCTTCCCACTGCCTCCAGAATAGAGTCCAGTCCACAGAAGGCTCTTCCAGCGGGCCTCCTGCTCCAGGCTCCCCAGGCAGACCCCTGCCCACCTTGATGGTCTCCACCGGGCACAAGACCACCACCCCGGCCCTCTCTCACGCCTGTCCCCTACCGAGACCTGCCCACCTTGATGGTCTCCATGGGGCACACGACCACCACGGCCTCGGCCACACCAGCGCCCAGGCCGCACAGCAGCCCGCGCGTGCTGTCCAGCCGTCCCTGGGCGTCCCGCATGTGGTTGCTGA